GGGGGGGGGCAAATATACGCATAAACCTACTTATGGTTTTGGAGGTATTTCTCTTCTGTGACAAAACATAATGCCGTTGCGAAACGCACGAAAAATACGTACACACCCACAGAATATCTCGGTCATATACGGGTGGCAGATTCCAATAACAGGGACGTCTTAACCCTATACTATAACGCCGCAGTAAACTGACTGAAAAATCCGAAATTAAGCCAAAATTGCGTGCAAAAGGGACGTTACGAGTCGACGCTATACATTACTCAACTCAGTCAAGAGCTTTCCTCATGAAATAGGTCATCGTTCGCGGCCGAAATCTCCCGGCATAGTAAATCGAACGAAATCGAACTAAATTTCAGTCGAACGAAATCGAACGAAATCGAACTCAATTCATGGAACTCACCGAACTCATCGAACTCACCGAAAAGAAAAAAAATCGATCGAACCCAAACGAACGTTTAATTTTCGAACTCGTGATTTGTGTAAAACAGGCGTTGAAAATCCATAACCAGAACTTGGAAGCTCGAGTTACTCCAGCCCAGAGTGTAGCGCACGTAGAAATTCCGCAGAAATGGCTTCAGATGCGCTGTGGATTGTAAGTTTCAAACGCGTAGTAAAAGGCTACCAGGAATGCCGCTTTGACGTCAAGGTTGGCGAAGTTTTCAAGGTTTTAAAGAAAATAGACGAGAAAGGCCGAGCGCGGACAATTAGTTACCTTCAACATGAACTGGTTGCTTCCCTGTGGCCTGTAAATGCTTCGATAACTTGGTAAAAGAAGATGTTTGTAAGGGATTCAATAGACCAGGTAATAGATCCAACCGAAATAAACCGGGAATATATTAATTTGCCTCAAGTAGTTAATATTGTGCAACCCTTAAGAAAAACAGGGAAAGCAAAACTTATGCATACTTTTCACTTTTAGTCGGTAGAGTCTGTGGGCCACCATTTGATCATCCTAAAGGTCGCTGGCGAAAAGGAGGTGGTATCAATGCATTTACTATTTATCCTTTCTATCATGACAGTAAGAAGCTCCCAAACGTCCAATATACTGACGCTCGTTCACCCTTACCCTCCTGGTCACTGTTAATTGTTCAAGATGAATTTGAGAGAATCATGTATATCGTTAGTAAGATATTTTTCATAATCACCCATCTGCTGTATGCCGTTGCCTGTGTCGCGGTTAGTAATTTGCTTGTATTTTTGCATAAAAGTAACCCTTGGAGTTGTCTTGCCGCAATTGTAAGTTAGCCAAAAAAGGAAAGGGTACAACAATTTCGGAATACGCCCACGGGAATAATGATAGCTTTGTTCTGTTCTGTTCTGTTCTGTTCTCTTAACTGCCGTGGACAGTTTATAAATGGGGTTTCTGTTATTGAATAAATTGTAAAAAAGCACAAGAAAAACCTGCTTTGATGGTCTTGCTTTGGGCTTGCTTTGTATAGGTTTACCAGAGCCAATCGAAAGCAATCCATTTAATTGTGTTCGATTGAGTTCGGTTTCCGAACTCAATCCAACACAATCTAATGGATTAAGTTCGATTGGGCTCGATTTGTTCGATTTAGTTGGATTGGTTCGGAAATCGAACTCACACAAAATTCTGTGTTCGATTTGGTTCGATTGCCGAACTCAATCCATAGATTGAGTTCAGTTTAGTTCGATTGAGTTCGATTTTCGAACGTTCGATTTACTATGCCGGGAAATCTCTATGGCTGCAAAAATGCGATTCGCTGATAATCTGATCGGCGAAACGTAGAAAAACAGAGCGGATTTCAATTGGGAGTCGAAAGTAATTACTTTGATTTTGGTTTTACTACAGTTTGAGATTGGCTGAGTAGTCTATTGGTTTGGCTTTCGTTTTACAACACTCGATTCAAAACCGCGCTAATAATAAATAATATCTTATATCTTAACAGAGCTTAGAGCGGTTTTCAATTGAGCGTCGTAATATAAGACCAAAACCAAACCAATTACATACTCAGCCAATCTCAAACCGTAATAAAACCAAAACCAAAGTAATTGCCTGATAACTTTCTGCACTCAATTCCAAACCACTCCATTGAGAACACTAAATTATGATATATTGTAACAGAAAAATGGAAAAACTTAGAACAAAATCTATTAGAAATTTAATCTAAAATTACGGTACATGATAGATTTGAAACTGAAAGCTAAGATGCAACCGTTGACAGTTTTTTTTTGACCCGCTGAGTCTCTTAATCACGGTGTTGCAGCAAAACATACAGCTCAGCAGGCAGCACAAAGGCCAATTGTCTACTAAACATGGTGATGACCTCAGTTGAAACTGCTGACGTCACATGCACAACGCGTGACTGTGAACAGGCAAAGAAATTGAAACTGATATCATGTGGAAATCTGATTGCGAACGGACATAAACAATCCTGCATCACGGGAGGAAATACCTGGCCACGGATAATATCATGTTAAAATAAACAGTATAACGAATATAGTAAGATCTACGGTCGCGTTAAGTTTTAAACGCAGTATCTACTTTATTATGTAGATTTAAGTTTCATCTAAGGTCATTACCATGGGTGTTTAGTAAACAATATAAGCCTTCGCGCTGACGAAACCCCGACCGGGTCGAAGCTAGCTTTTCGCTTGGACTCCGTCGTTGTTCGCATTGAATCATCAGCCTCAGTTTTGTATAAGTATCTTCCACTTATTAAACATCACAGTGGTTCTAAAACAGGACTTTTTCTCCCAGCAGCCTTTTAGTCGTGTAGGAAGGCGTTTTGTTTTTATACGTTTACTACGTGAAAGCTCTCTTGAACGCACAGCCCCTCTCTCAAACCAGCTGCAGCCAACAGCCCGAACAGCTAATTCACTGATACCCAGTGTCGACCAGAAGTAATTTCCTTATCTAATGAAAGAGGTCTGCGGAGTTTGCAGTTCACAATTTCAATTTACCTAAATAATAGCTTATCACGTATTCAAAATGAATGAGCTCGAGTCTGGCAGACTCACCGGGTTTCTCAAAAGTGATGCAACATGGCCACTGATTCTCTATACACGATATTTCAAACATCTAGATGAGGTTAATCAGTTAATTATTTTCGTGATCAATAACCTGCTTCAGCAATGGAAATGGTATGAATCAAGATGCATTGCGCAGACAGTCATTAATTATTACTCAGTTAAAGTAATGGATATAGATTAAGCCAGAATCTAACGTTGAATATCAGTGAATCTCTCTTTTGTTTCCTCTATTTTTTAAGCTTTGAATCTGAAACAAGTGGAATGACTAACTCTTCAAGGTCTGACATTGCAACTGATCCTTTCCCAGCTTCGTAGAATCCTTGACGACGCGTCCTTGACGTACTCAGGTCGCATTAATTCGCGATCGATCTGTTGATTCATAAGTGAATACTACAATTTCAAGATAAAAGTACGCAAGAAATGTGATTTCCATCATTTAAAAGCAAAAGCCTGAAAAAAAAAACCCCAAAAAAACAAGAGAAAAAAGGCAACGAAACTTAACAACGTACGATTTACGAGTGTTCGCCTGATGCATCTTGGAATTGCTTACGTTGCACTTTCGCTTTCACTTCAGACACTCCTGGAATTTAACTTCTCCACCTATTGGGAAGCCTATCATCTTAGTCAGCCTGATGCGCTTGTGCCGTTCACTTTTCATGTACGCAACTTGTATGATTGTTAACTTTGTCAAACTGCAAGTGGCTGTAAGTGTTTCTTGAAATTCCACTGAGCGCAACCGTCACGATTCGTTCCACTGAAGTTATGGCAACCTCGTTCCCAGGGTCCTCTCTCTACCTCGAGAAAGTACTTTCTCGAGGTTGAGAGAGGACCGTGGGCACGAGGTTGTGGTATCACCAGTGTGACGTCACGCTGATTCAAAAATGCGTCCTGGGGACGAGTCAAGTATAAACTCTCTTTGGAATCTGTCACCTTAGTTACACTTTCGTGTTCACAAATGTAGTTTCTGTCTCTGAGATTTCGGCTGTGAATTTGAATTCTAATCCATTAACAGCCTTACATCCCATTTTCCGCAC